TTAATTACACATTTACATAATAAAATATTCTATTCGTGGACCTAAAATTTTTCCCTAATTTTTAACCATATATTTTTTTTCAAAAACACTATTTAGAACTCTATTTTACCTAAAAAAATATAGTTGTCAAACTGAATTTGCATATAATTATGATGTTAACATAACCTAATTTTAAGTTGAAATTCAGAATCTCACTTTCGGATATTGGGAACCAAAATACCGGTGACTTGCCGGAGAATATTCCGGGAAGCAAGCACGCCTCGCAGATGGGGATCTCGGGAAGTGAACATATAGAGTAGGTGGTGGGCCCAAAGCTGTGGGATGTGGGCTTTGTAGGGTTCATTACTGGTACACCCTTCTGCCACTGCCTCTCTAAATTCCTACCCTCGTCCTTCGGATTAATCATGGGATCAATTAAATTTAATAATTTCAAGGAAAATAAAGAATTAAAAAAATGATAAAATAGTTTTATTAGTTGTTTTTTTTATTTATTTATTTCTAATAATTAATAAAACTTTTAGATAATTCACTACTTTACTTAAACCAGGCATTACGGCATGCACTTAAGTCAAAAAGTTACGACTCGCTCAGTTGCTTATTGTCTTAAATCATCTTTTAGAAATTTTGAACCTTTGCGACTTCCTATATGGATTATATCTTCTTTTTTTTTTTTGGCTATATAGATTTTATCTAAATACTATGAACTTTTTGTAATGATGCTTTTGATTTGTGCAAGAATAAAACACCACTTATTCTCGTTTTATTGTGTCCAACTAAACCAGCTATATTCAGGTATCAATAAACGTTCCTTTTCCTTCCTTCATTTCCTTTTTTTTTTCTTTTTTTTTAAAGTCATCCGAAATAGGGAAAATTGCATGATAGGTCACTGAACTTTGCGAAAGATTTTCAGGTCACTAAATCTCAAAAGTTTTCCCGTTAATTACTGAACTTTACAAAATACAATTTCACTCATCGCTGAAAACTTCAAAAGTTTTTAAGTTACTCACTGAACTTCGCAAAATGCAATCCCATCAACCACTCAATGATGGATGAGTGATGGATGAGATTAAATTTTGTAAACTTTAGTGTCTAATATAGAAGCTTTTGAAGTTCAGTGATCAATCAGGTAATTAATCAATTTTTATAGGTTTTTTTAGTCTTTTTCTTTCTTTTTTGTACTGCTATCCCACAATTTTATTCTCTCTAATATCGTCGAACTTAGAGAAAGAAATAGTTTTTTATCCATTGGTTGTTTGATGATCTCTCTAAAATCAAAGAGGCAACGGAAAAAGGAAAGGAAAAAACTAAAAAAAATAACGATTAATAAATTATCTGATTTGTTACTAAATTTTGCGAAAGGCTTCTAGAATATCACCGAGTGATGGATGAGAATATATTTTGTAAAGTTCGACGATTAGAGGGGAAACTTTTGAAATTCATTGACCCCCTAAAAACCTTATGCAAAGTTCAGTCACCAATCAAGTAATTATCCCTCCAAATCAAAGTGATAAAATAAGAGTTTAGACCTATATGTTAGATATTTTTCATCATTTTGTATGTGTTATCTTTTGTTTTGCGAATATTTTGCCGCGCCCGACTAGCGTTTGCCGCTACGCAAATGGGATCGACCTGCCTGATCAGGTCGCGGGGGTCGAGGGGGCAGCGCCCCCCCGTGGGGGCTCGGGGGCAACGCCCCCGAAAGAGAATTTTATTTTCAGAAATTTTTGAATAGGTATGTTTCTTCCAACAGATGCGTCCATTCATNCGTGACTTTGTTGGAAATGGGAGAAACATCTCTTAAAAGATAACGTTTTTCATGCCTTGGAGTTCATTAGTTTTTTCCAGATTTTATTACATATTTCCAACACTAATTACCTTTTTCAAATGGGAGAGGTAATGAATAGTAATATTGCATAACATTCAAAATGGATGACTACCTACAAGGTGGCTAGTTGCAATCTCAATTTTATACAAAGATTGATGTACAATCCTAGTGTTTAGTTGTTATCGTTGAATTTTAAAATGTTAGTGATAAGTAATATGGTTAGATGAAGTTAGCAACCATGCTAAAGAATGCCCCAAGTAAGGGTGGGCAAAACCTGACCAAACCGGTTAAAACCGAACCAACTTAATCGGTTTGGGTCGATTTTTTGTTGTTTTTACATGGGTTGGGTGGATTGGTTGTGTAGACGGGTTGGGTTGAGTTGGGTCAAATTATGAGTTAACTTATGAAAATCGAATAAACCCGCCTACTTTAAAAAAAAAAAGAGAGAGAGAGAGAGAGAGAGAGAGAGAGAAGAAATAAAATGTGTAAAAAGTAAAATGAACCTAAAAAGTATGAGTGGATAGTGTACATAACTGTAATTACCTTGGTGCATTTTAGAGGATGAGCTTAATGTCCTTTCCACAAGAAATGTTTATGTTAAATGCATTTGTTATTTGTAGACTCGGCTTATGAGGATTGAATAAGATAATCGATAATTTTATTTATTTATTTACTTACTTACTATTTAATTTCTTCTAATTTTCAATTTAGTATAATAGAAAATTGAATGACTTTAATTTTTGTTAACAAGTTGTCCCAAACCGACCAACTCAACACAATCCGACTGATATTTGATTGGGTTGGGTTGGGTTGAGTTGAGTTTCAACCTTTACGCGTGTTGGATTGGATTAAATTTTGATCAAACCGATCATGTTAGGTTGGGTTTGGGTTGAGACAAAAACCGACCCAACCCAACTCAACCCATGCCCACCCCTAGTCCCAAGAGAGGAGAAGATTGCTATGTACAAGGGAGAGGTAATACTAAAACTTGTCGTCAATTTAGTTTGCATTACATATTAATAACACTTGCCGGGGGTTCTTTTTTTTTGTGTGTGTGTGTTTGAAGCAACAGTCAAATTATAGTTATTATACAAGTGTTGTATGGATACCGTAATTACTTTTTAATTAATGTAGAAGATCAAACTAAAATTAATAAATATTAGGATTTAAACTTCTATACGAGGCGATAATCATGAAACCAGAAGAAAAAAAAACACGTAGATTCAAGTCTCATAATTATTTAATTGCTAAAATTGTACATATACAAGGTCTTTGATTAAAAAAAAAAAAAAAGTTTAACTAAATATAAATTAATAAGTATAACGTCTCTTTCACGATTTACACTTTTGAAACAAGTTGGATATTACAATGTACACATCTAACAATCGAGTGGAGTACACTGAGTCCTAAATATTCTTAACTAAGCTATTAAAAATGAAATTAAGTTGGCCTTGCCTTGCCTTGCCATGCATCTCTCTTTCACGTAGGGTATCCAAAGTCCATCCTCTAAGAATGTGGTGAGGGACACCCATTATTTGTCATCATATATGGAGAGGAATGATATAAAACCAAGTAAGATATTATGGGTCCACATGCTATATTCTGCAACTAGTCTGAGAATCTTGACTTAGCCACTCTCTTGAGGACACTGATTTGCCTTCCAACTCACCATAATATGGGTCAATTCCATACTTAATTCTGTTAATGACTTTTATGCAAAAATTTCACAACAAATGGGACCTTTTTGTTAAGCTATTTTACCACAAATTTTGCGGATTAGGAGCAATCACTAGTATTATGTCTACCAGATGTTTGGGAGTTTGCAGGCTCCTATTTACAACTGTAATTACTATTGTGTCTATCGCTTTACAATTAGCTATGTAAATACTACATAGTAACTCTAGAGCTAGTAAATTGCAACGAACTCTAACTTTTCGAAAAGTCAAAAACGGTGCTTTATGATTGGTGATATTAACATTGAGTACTACAATCACGACGAAAATTTTATAGGGATTGGAAAGCCAATCCCTCCCTTAATTTCCATCCAAGAAGGCAATGCTGCCTATTTTGTGAGAGGCCTACGAGCATGTTTGGCTGATCTTAATTTCTAAATATTTTTTGGATAACTTGATTTTTTTTTTCACTTTTACAAAAATAGTTACTTATTTTAAAAGTAATTGTTGCATTCCTTTCAAATAACTTATTTATTTCTAATTTCAAAACTTTAACTCATTTACTTATTAAGTTTTTGAGGTTAGCCGTACAAACTTTAGTTCCCAACTTGGCGTGGGGTGGGGTGGAGGATGGAGAGTGGACACTAAAGACATATATAGACCCACAACTGATTGCAGCCGGTAAGTTAGTCCATGACTTGCAGCTTGATCACCATTTCTTTTTAGCTAGCAAAGTTAATAATTTTGTCGCCTATCTATAACACACGCTTCATCATAACCGTAGAGAAGCAAGTCAACGCCATTTAAAAGTATTCCATTTTGCTTTTGCTTCTCTAATCAACAAAGATGGAAATAAAATCCAAAAAGTATCAATTATATGCCTTGTTCAGTAGTATCTTGTCCCTTTTTCTTTTTTTTTTTTCTTTTCAGTTAATTTATTATGAGATCTCGTTAATGAACATTTAGATCGTGTTTAGCCGAGCTCAAAAGCCTACTTGATGTCCAAAATTGGCTTTTAATTTCGACTAAACATGTTATAAAATGAGATTAAGGGATGGCATTCTATTTTTGTCGTGATTGTTACCTCAAAAGTTGTAACATGAGGACTTAAATTGCAAATATGGAGGAAAATGGCACGAATAGTTAATTGCAATATGATTTCTTTCTCTACCTAGTGTTGTGGTAAAGTATAGGTTAATTATTTTATAATTTTTCTAGTCTTTATTATTTATGTAAACAAGAAACATATAAAAGTGGGTCCACTCGAACATCATGCAAGTGATTGCTGGAGACCATCGATGCTCGTTCTTGCGGAAAACGATTTTTGAGATCCTGTCAATTTGGTGGGCAAGCGATGGAGGAAAAAGTTTTGGGATTAGTGGATGCAACGGGCAGACGTTGCACTAGTTGGGCCTATTTAGATGCATGTTTGTTTCGTGGAGCGCAATGAATATTGCAAAATTATGCACTGATGGGCATCTTGTGTTGGTACTTTGGGATGTGTAGTGGTGCTGCGGCAATGTCCATCCAATCGAGGAACTGAATTTTGTGGGAATAGGTTGAAGGCTGGTTCTAGATGCACATGACTATAGGTACTACAGGCTTGTGTGTAAGAGACATAGCGTGGAGAGCTGGGTGGTGTTACTAATGTAGAGAAATTTTCTTACCAATATACGTGTTGGACAATGCAACGAGCTGTTTGTGTGTCCCATGCCACCAAATTGCACTAATGACGGCATTACATGTATGTATTATCGTCGTGTCCTCAAGGATGGATGTAGGGGGATTGGACCAGATTACAATGATGCAGGGGGACTGGGCGGGACTATGTAGCCCGGGCCAGTCATAGCCCGGTCCAGACTCCAGCCTACTTCATTTTTTTTGGTAGAATTCATGTATAATTTTATT